GCAGGGTCTGCTGGCTGGGTGCTGGCAGGCTTGCAACTGTCCCAGGCACCATAGCCAGACCGAGGCCCTTTATGGGCTCCGGGGCTGGGAGGGGGGCAGACGAGTTTCTCTGGTGGTGCCCAGAGTGGCCACCAGGGCAAGCTGGGGAGGGCTAGCCTCCCACTAGTTCGAATTAAGTGGCTACACAGCCCTTAATTCGAACTACTTAATTCGAACTAGGCGTTAGTCCTCGTAGAATGAGGTTTACCTAGTTCGAATTAAGTGCTCCGCTAGTTCGAATTAAGTTCGAACTAGCAGTTTGCATGTGTAGCGCCTATCAAAGTTAATTCGAACTAACGCCAGTTAGTTCGAATTAACTTTGTAGTGTAGACATACCCTTACTCCCAGCGCTTCTCCCCTTCCTGCAGCTCACAGGTGTTAACTCCTCATGGAGCGACTGCAGGATGGAGCTGCTGCTTTGGCACCACAAGTGGAAACAGCAAAAACAGTGGCTCTTTCTGCAGCTCCCAGTTGTTTGCCACTGCGTTTCCCCTTGCTGCTGACTACAGCAGCTTCTGTGCAGGAAGGGGGCCTGGCAGCACCATGTGTCTAAGCAAGGTCAGCAAACCATGGCAAAAGCATTGGGGGTGAGTGTAACCTACATCGCCCCTCATGTGTTACCTCTGGCTTCTGCCCAGTGGGGAGAGGAGTCTTGGGATTTCAGTCCAATGGGGTCATGCCTGCCGGGGCTCAGGACTGTATTTCTGAGAACCCTCCTCCTTGCAGGGCTGAAGCCCTGAGGTTTAACAGTTTTGCCCCGGCTCTAAAACTTCTGAAGATCATTGTATGCAACCAGGAGGAGCAGCAGTAAGTTCGGCCACCCCTGCTCTAAAATGTAGCCAAGTACTTGTAGCATCCAGTGGATTAATTCCTTGATTAATTTATGCTAGTTTACCCAAGACTAAAGAATCATAAAATATAATATAGTTGACCCTTTTTACAATATAAAAATGGAAATGGTCTTAGTCTTGGCCTTTTGTTGTGAATTAGAGAATAAGTGTGTCTTTCTCTTTTTCTTTCCAGAATTCCAACTTTATTAGGATCCATAAAGTGATTTCAGTTTCAAACTTCACAATGAAAGAGTCAGATCTGCAGCTCTCAAATATCTTTCTAAAGGCCCTTAACCACCTGCCTTTGGAGTACAACTATGCTTTATATAGCCGAATTTTTGATGACTTTGGGACTCATTATTACACTTCTGGATCAATGGGAGGCACATATGACCTTCTTTATCAATACAGTGCAGAAGAGCTGAAGAATTCAGGTATGCCAGCTTGGTGGTGAGAAAAATCATATGATCTATTTTGGAAAAATATATTTGTTACTATTATTCCACTTAGTGTGCCTGTGAGGAAAAATATTGCCCCATGTTATCTTGTTTTAGCATATACAATTCAGTAATGCTCTGAAACAAAATAATATCTAACTCACACACTTATGTAGGTCTAGACTTTATCAGGAGAAGTGATGGAATCTCCTTCTCTTGATGTCTTCTATAATAAATGCTTTAGTCAAACCCAACATACTGTTCTCAATGCAAGGGAAAAGAGTGACAGTCTTTGGCTTGTGTTATACAGGAGTTCAGACTAGATGAGCTAATGGTTCCTTCTAAACCTAAAAACTATATATCTATTAAAATTATTAGCAGTTATGGTTGGCTGTAAATTCCTTAGAAAGATAGTCAAAGATTAAAATGGAGAGTGCGTTTTACAAAAGCTAACTTCTCCAGTTACGCTGTGATCCTGAGTACCGTTAACTTGTGTGGGCACTGCTCGTTAATTAAACAAAGTGTAGTTGGGTGTGTCCAGGACATTCCAGCAGCATCAGTATATTCTTGGATGGGTAAATATGACTCTCCAACACTGTGGGTTCACGGGGGAATTGCGTGGTGTCCAATGAAACTACAATGGGCTCAAGTACGTAATCCACAACACCAGCATTGCTTTCAGGATGTAACTGGTGGGGATGAGTCCCTCGGGCATGATGTGGGGGAGAGGAAACTAGTAAAGGATCCTTGGTGAGGAATGCCATGAAACAGATGGCTGCAGAGTCCTGAGCAGACAAAAGGGGAGCCATGTGGAAACTAGGGCTGCTGTTTTGTGTTTAAGTATTTAGTTCTTAATCTCATCGTTGCTATTTAATATTTCTCAGGTTTGACTCGGGAAGAATCATCAGAATGTGTCCGGACAGAAACAGTTAGGCGTATCTTTTTCTTCAAGAAAAGGAAAGTACATACAACGTGTACCACAAACAAACTGTCGGAACGCCATGAAGGTGACTATGATGAGAACCAAGCACCATGTGCTGTTATTTACCATGGGGAATAGTATCTGACAGTTATTGGGGCACAACCCAGACTTAGTTGGCATTAGTGGAAAAACTCCCATCTACTTCAGTGGGGCCAGTTTTTCACTTCTTGTTATCCAAGTCCAGCATTATGAGCTTTCTGTCTCCTACAAAAATACATTGTGGCCCAGATGCTCTCTCCTGTTCCACCCTGGAACCCTGGCTGATGAATCCCATCCCACAAAACTAGTGTAGCCATCTCCTAGGCCACCTCTCCACATTTTCAGTGCAAAGGTATGCTGGAGGTGGGAAGGCAATGTGTCAGAAGTGCTTTGGTGAGCCTAAGATGATCATTTGAGGACTCATCAGCTGGCAGAGCATAGAGCAGCCCCCAAGCTGCTCTCAATTATTCCAAGCCTGAAGGTAGCACAGAATGAGGCAGAGAATCAGGAATATATAACTAACTGTTCAGTATTCCCCTCTTCTCTACTGCCCCAAGCGATGCTTTGGTGCAACAGAGGCTCTATCTTATGCTTTTAAAGTACTGTAGGTATATTCAAAGAACAATTTATTTTCTTCCAAAGTATCAGGGAGTCATGCATCCAGCACAAAATGGAAAGAACTATTTGATCATTTTAGGCCAAATATGCCTTGTGAATACTACCATACAAAAAGCAACCAAACTATTGAGATGAGTAAGAAAAGTTGACACTCTTATCCCAGCCCATTCCCTGGCCGGATGGATTGTTCCATACAATGCATTTTCTATTCACATTATACTGTGTCCTATCTAGGTCTAAATGTCTCCAGAGATGAGGCTTTAATTGCCTTCTTTTATAAGACTATTCCACAATCAACTACATTTCACCATTGGGATTTTTTCTTGCTTTCCAGACTACATTTTTCTTTTTAGTTTCATAACATTACTCCTATTATACTCCTCAGACCCAGCTGAATAGTTCCTCTGCTCTGAGGTGTTTATACCTTCAAGTAATAGTAGAAATTAACTAAGGATCTGTTGGTCAGTCTTGCCAGTGTCACACAAATCACAATTGGACTACCATAGCCATTGGCCAGATGGGGGAAGGAGGGAAGAATCTCTCTGGCCTATAATTTGGTGCCCCTGTGTCCTCAGTAAATTGTATTGGCTCTTCTTAAATAAACCCAATTGTTGGCATTTGCATTGTATGCAATAGGAAAGTAGTGATATTTTGAAAAGCCTTGATTTTAATCTTATTTTAGGATCATTTTTGCAGTCGTCCGAAAAGTCTATTTCACTGGTAAAAGGTGGAAGGGCAGAATATGCTGCAGCTTTGGCCTGGGAGAAAAAGGGATCTTTCCCAGAGCATACAATATTCACAAACTGGGTAGAATCAACAAAGGACAATCCTATTGTGGTTGATTTTGAGGTAAGAAAAGAAAGAAAAATACTAGCGAGAAAATAAAGGCCATTATCGTTTCAGGGAGCATTTTTTCCTGGAATGAGATTAGGGATTATTACACATAAACAAAATATTTTAGAGAATTTTATTAACAATTATTCGAACCACTTTTTGTATCCCTCAACCTGGAAAACTAACATTCGCTAGTACTGAGCATCCAAATTAAAGGGCATTGGACAGTGTGACAGACTGCTGGCTAAGCCACAGCTCTGCCACTACAGCCTGGTTGAAAAGGCCAATTACAGCCAGTTGAGCAAGCCCAGGCCTGAAGGGCTAATGGAAGCAGCCGTGGGCCTCATTAGCCAGAGGGCTATATAAGGCAGCCAGAGGGAAAGTGAAAGGGCAGGAGCCAGGGTATGGCGGAGTGTGTTCCCAAGCCAGAAGGAGAGGCTGGCTAAGTTTGCTGTGAACAAAACCTCTGTAAGTAGAAGGTGGTGGGAAATACACAAACAATAAAAGGCACGGGTGATTGCACCAGAAAGGGTCTCTGGTTGATTTGTGTCCCAAGAAGGTGTCCCAACGCAGGGGAGCTGGGCAAGGACCTTGCCACAACAGTCAGGGTATGTCTACACTACCACCCTAGTTCGAACTAGCGGGGTAATGTAGGCATACCGCACTTGCAAATGAAGCCCGGGAAATTCAAATCCCGGGCTTCATTTGCAAGTGCGGTATGCCTACATTACCCCGCTAGTTCGAACTAGCGGGGTAATGTAGGCATACCGCACTTGCAAATGAAGCCCGGGAAATTCAAATCCCGGGCTTCATTTGCAAGTGCGGTATGCCTACATTACCCCGCTAGTTCGAACTAGCGGGGTAATGTAGGCATACCGCACTTGCAAATGAAGCCCGGGAAATTCAAATCCCGGGCTTCATTTGCAAGTGCGGTATGCCTACATTACCCCGCTAGTTCGAACTAGCGGGGTAGTGTAGGCATACCCTCAGAGGGAATGAAAGTCAGTGGGCCTCTTTTCAGAGTCATTGGGAAAGAGGAGACTCCTGGAACTTGGCGGTAGGGAGGGTTTGGGTGTTTTGGGGAGGAAGGAAAGAAGTGCACTAGTTGTGTGCAAGAAGCTAGCTAACTTCCTCCTTGTGCAAACTCTACAACAACTTCTAGTTCAGAAAACATGGAATGTAACTACACACTGAATATAATGTCAGTCTCATAACATTTCTCATCGTTGTTTATTATTGCATCACTTGTCATTGTGTATGCTCTCCTTGTTTTCATTTACACCATCTTACCTGGTGTGATATTAAAATATATATTGCTAATTCTATGTCACTTGCCCATTAGGCCATCACATCAGTAAAGAGGAAAATATAGATATGGGAGATCTAGATGTATAGAGTTTTCATGCCATGTTAAATAGCAAGAAATTGTACCATGCACCACAGTCCCAGTATTTTATACACATAATCTGTAGCTGTTTGGGATATGTTGATGCCCTGCAACTACCCATAGTAAAATGTTAACACAGCTAAGTACAAAGAAATGTCTACTTTATTGTTTATTACATGACCCCTTGATGTGTGGTTATCTCTTAGCTGGCCCCCATCCTGGATTTGGTGAAGAATTTCCCTTGCGCAGTGACTAAACGGCGCAACCTGAGAAGAGCTCTTATTGAATATATGGACAGGTTTGACCCTTGTAAATGTTCACCGTGTCCCAATAATGGCAGACCTGTGTTATCTGGAACAGAGTGTCTGTGTGTATGTCAGGCTGGAACATATGGGGATAACTGTGAGAAACGTGCACCAGATTACAAATCAGGTATTTATGATTATGCCATAATGATGCAATAATGTTCCTTTATAGCTGTACAACTTAATGTTAAAAGTTAAAACTGATTGGAATTTGGAATTCCCATTCCATGAAATGTCTAACTTCTGCATTTCAATTCCATCAGAATAAAAAATTGAAATTTTAATGTTTCCCACGGAGGAAAATTCCACAATTTAATTTCAGACAAATCAAAATGATATTTAGTTTTGATCTTTATAAAATGTTTCATTTCAATAGGGTGGAAATAGTTTCATTTTGATGAGATTGAAATCAAGTGTGAATTTAATTTGAACTTTGTTGGCTTGATTTTTATGTTATAAATTATAATACAGAAGCTGAGACATTTTATAATTTCATGTTATACATTTCAAACCATGTCAGAATAGTTGAAATAGTTCAGCTTTTATATTACTAAATTATATGCATATTTTATTTTGAAAATTGGTAATTGATTATAAATTGGCATTCTTTATCTAGTAAGGAGTAATCTAATTAATAAGTGTTGGTGCAGTAAGTGGCTTGGTATTTCATAATGTATTGGAATGTACTCTATTGTTTCTAATAACAAAAATACACTGTTTATTTTTAAACATATTATAAGAGGAAGTTGCCAGTTGCTAGACCAATTACAAATGACCTGTAACACTATCAATTACTAAACTAATTAGAATATCAATTATCAATTTTGAAATAAAAATAAATCAGGCAAGGAAGTCAGTCGGCCAGTGACATGCCAGCCAGATGGGGAGTCCACAGGAGCTGGGTGAGCAGCCAGTGCAGTCCAGCTAGCCATCCACTTGGGAAGCCAGGCACTCAGGAGGGTCTACAAACTTTCTGGCCTCTGGGCAAAGTGGGGGGGGAGGGAGAGGGAGCAAGGCCTTAGGTGGAAGGGGTGGGGCTGGAAGCAGCCAGCCCTCAACACCGCCCAGAGCATGCCACACTCCCCCTGCCAGCCAGACTTGCAAGCCACCTGGAGTATGCCACGGTGCTCCAGCAGTGATTGAAATAGCCTGGGCTCTGGCCTCTGCCACCTCCGCAGTGGTGACAGTGGCAGTACATTTTAATCTCTACATATAAAAAAGGGTTTTTTTTCCTGCCAGGCAAGAGAATGATGTCATCCATGGGCAGAGGTGGGGAAGGCAGGCCCCCAGCTTCATCTACAGCTCTGCCCCCTCTGCTGAGGCCCCGCCTCCCCAGGGAGGGGAGGAGGTGGGGCAGTGCACTGTGTGCGCATGCCCCCTACCCCACATGGGAAGGAGAAGAGAAAGGAGGGGACGAATATGTTCCCCAGTCTCTGTGGCCTGAGCTTCCTTGGCCCCCAGAGTCCTGGGGAAGGAGGAGGCTGTGCGGCTTTAGACTACCCAGCCTCTGGCCCCTGGAGCACCGGGGAGGGCAGGTGCTGGGGGCAGCAATGCTCTGCCCCCAGAACTCCTACAATAGGTGTTCTGTGGGTGGAGTGTGGGCAGGGCCATGCCTGGTGGTTTGGGAAGGCAAACCCTAGGCTACCAGACATCCATGATGTCATCACATCTTCAGCATCAACAGGTTCTCTCAGTGAAGCTAAAGGAGCCAGAGAGTAGGGCTGCATCTAGACTGGCAAGTTTTTCCACAAAAGCAGCAGCTTTTGCGGAAAAACTTGCCAGCTGTCTACACTGGCCGCTTAAATTTCCGCAAGAACATTGACGATCTCATGTAAGATTGTCAATGTTCTTGTGGAAATACTATGCTGCTCCCGTTCAGGCAAAAGCCCTCTTGCGCAAATGCTTTTGTGCAAGAGGGCCAGTGTAGACAACGCGGTATTGTTTTGCGCGAAAATGACGATCGGGGCTTTCTTGTGCAAAACCAAATCCAGATTGGCACGGACGCTTTCCGCAAAAAGTGCTTTTGCAGAAAAGCATCTGTGCCAATCTAGACGCTCTTTTCTGCAAATGCTTTTAACAGAAAAACTTTTCCATTAAAAGCATTTGTGGAAAATCATGCCAATCTAGATGTAGCCAGGGGATTTGGCAAACTTAGTGGCCAGAGAGAGGGAGGTTGGCACATGTAGCACCAAGAGAGAACAGCCAGAGAGAGCAGCCTACTTGTAATTCCTATAAAACATGTTTTAAGGGAAAGCAAAGTAAAATAATTAAATAGAAGGTGTTTGCAATTAAATTCAAACTTGTTTCTGAAGTAAGATTGGGATTAGGAATATCTTTGGGCTCTAAAATTCAGGGCAAGAGTTGGATTTCAAGGTATCAACAACTGTTTGAAAAGATTTCTAGCCTCATGGAACCTCCAAATGGCTTCATTGGAAATAGGCACCAACTGGTTTGGGGATTATTATGACCTGGGATCAAAATTTTGTAAAGAAAGGGATATTCAGACTCCCCTGAAACTCAAATTTAGGTTTGGCCCATCTCTGTTTAGAATGTAATCTCCTATAAATAACATATTTCTCCACTAGGAAACAATGTATATATTTTTAAATTGTGACAGTTAGCTGACCAGATGTCCTGTTGCATACAGACTAAGGGAATGTCTACACAGCAAAGTTATTTCAAAATAACAGCCGTTATTAAATTAATTCGATTTAATAAGCGGAGCACTTATTTTGAATTGGTAAACCTCATTCCACGAGGATTAACGCCAAATTCGAAATAGCTATTTCAAAATAAGTGCTGTGTAGACACTTGTATCGAAATAGGGGGCCTCCAGCCTTCCCGGAGTACCCTGGTGACCACTGCAGCCTCAACCAAGAAGACTCCTCTCCCTCCCTTCCCCCCCTCCCTGGAGCCCTTAAAGGGGTTGACTCTGGCCACTGTGCCTGTGCCAGCTCTAAGCCTACCAGCCCAGAGCCAGTAGTCGCTGCCCCTGACCCAGTGGCCCCAAAACATGAGCCAGCAAGTCACGGCAGCCAGCCCTGCACCGCTCCCCAGGAGCAGTCTGCCAGCTCCCAGGAGCCTGCCAGGGCCTGAAGAAGGCGGGCACCTTCCTGGTCCAGGGTGAAGATCATGGACCTTATTCAGGTTGGGGGGGGATGCCCCCAACATCCAGGATCTCCGCACTAGATGGAGGAACGCGGCCAACTATGGCAGGATAGCTGCCAGCCTGGCCACCAAGGGCCACATGCAAACCCAGGAGCAGGTTTGCATGAAAATCAAGTTGGTCCGGTGAGACCTCCAACCCTGAGCCCTGAGCTTCCCCTCCCCTTTTGTCCCCTTGCTTCCCCCTTCCAGCTCCCTCCTCCCAGGTTTCCCCCTTCCCTCTCCCACCCTCTCTTCTCCCCTCTCCCACCTCCTTTCCCCAGTCTCACCAGAGTTTCATTCCCCCCCCCCCCAGTTTTGTTAAATAAAGAGAGTTTGTGTTCATGAAAATACATGTATTTTATTTGACATCAGGATGGGGGGTTAGGGAGGGTTAAGTGGAAGGACATGAGGGAGGAATGAGGCACAAGCCCTAGTGGGGCAGACCAGGGAGGCTCTTAGTGCTCCTCAGGGCAGAAGCTCTCCCGCAGGGCCTCCTGGATACTGACAGCCCCTGATGGACCTCCCAGATGGCAGCCTGCAGAAAGTGCAGCCAGGCTTGCAGCAATGCATCCACATGAAGCACCAGAGTTCCCAGGGGCAGCTCTGGCTCCATGTTGCAAAGTGCTGTGGTGTCCGAAGTGAGGGCTACCAGAGCACACAGAGACAAAATGCTTTGCTGTCCATCAACGAGGAGGCAAGCAAGCAGGGAAAGCTGAGAACTGGCTGCCCAGGGGGGGTCCCTTTAAGCACAGGCCTCAGATAGCCTCAGGGAGCAGCCACACAAAGTAACTCCTGACCTGATGCCCTGCCGGACCTAGTTCCGGCCGGCCTTAAATGCAATTCAGCATCCACTCAGTGTGTACGCGCTATTTCGAAATAGCAAAACACTATTTCAAAATGCATTTTGTGTGTAGACGTGTTATTTCAAAATAAGTTTTTTTGAATTAACTAATTTAAAATAAGATATTTAGAAATAACACTGTAGAGTAGACATAGCCTAAGGGAAATAATGCAGGGAGAGTGGATATCTCAAGTGATTGGAATTTTCTTTCATCTGTTATAGTTGCAGTAGATGGTTACTGGAGTTGCTGGTCTGCATGGAGCTCATGTGATGGTGCTTTCAAGAAAAGAAGGACCCGTGAGTGTAACAACCCTGTACCACTAAATGGAGGAAAGCCATGCGAGGGTGAACATGTGCAGGAGGAAGACTGTTACATCTCTGTGTTTGTGGACAAGTAAGAAGATGGTAGACTGGAATTTCTACTTCCTAATGGGTTGCAACTGAAGATGCCTCCAAAATGGTTTGGTGCCTAATAAGTATAGGGAAAAGTTACGGTGATCAGATGTTCCATTTTATAGGGATGGTCCCAATATTCAGGGCTTTTTCTTATATAGATGCCTCTTACCCTCCACCCCCATCCCAATTTTTCACACTTGCTATTTTGTCACCCTAGGAACAATGGAGAGGAATATCCTGCCTGCGTTTCTATGAATGGGCCACTTAGAAGAAAATGTCTGAAAATTTATATGAATTTGATTTTGTTTTGTTATTTCTTCCAAGAGAATTCCATTATCATTATCATTATGTAGTTATTTTAAAATATTTTGTATGACTGTGAAGTCATACAGAATACAGCAATTTCTTTTCATGCATCTTCATGCAAATGCTGTCCTATATTCTGAGCTACATGAATTTGGATGTTGCCATCTCCTCCTTTTTCCACAAGCTTCTATTTTTTGTTGGACTGATTTGTTTTAGTTTTGAATTACAAATCTTAAAGATAAATTTGACCAGAACTACTAAGGTCCTCCTGGCTCTGCTTTGAAACAACTCAAAACATTCATTTTGCAAGGTTTCAATGTAAAATCATAAATCCAAACCCAGCCTAGGTTTAGTTTCTCAATCCAAGACTGACTCTTGAAGAGCAAACTTCATAACCAGAGTTCACCAGTGGTGCATCCTCTCTGGTGGTCACAATTATAGTAGCAACCAATGGCAGCTGCAAAGACGGGATTGAGAGTTGCACTATCTCCATTGTAATAACTAATAACTATATGGAAACACCTTTACCAAGGCTACTGGATGCGCACAGACCCACTGGTTCTCCTTGGTTGCTTAGCTCCATGACTAAGTAAGGTAACATAGCATGTGCTTACGTCTATCTTGGTTTGGATTGATTAGACTGATACTGATAAATGTCAGTAAAGGTCGATTTCTCTGTATACATTCAAACTGATATAAAAATTTCCATCAGTGACAATCAAAATGTATACTTAGACAAAGTAAAGTTCTGCCTGAGAACCTATTAGAATTTAATTGAAGTATATTTACATTGAAATGTGATGCTGACAGTTTGTGTTTCAACAGTTATAAAGCTTTAAATTTTAAACCTCAGTGACTGCCATTACATAGCTAGGCAGCATTCCCCCTAGTTTTTCACAATTATCAGTAAAAATAAAAAGTGCTTAAAATAAACATTGATGTTATTCACCAATTTATTAAAAAAAAATTCTAGTTCTGCCAAACCTACTCATATCCACACACTTGGGCCTCCTTAAGCCCTCGCCTAACAGGTTGACCAGGGAATAGACTTTCGATTGCCTTCCATTTGACCCAACCAACCTATGATGAACCCTAACATTGACCAGTCTATGTGAGTTCATGGTCACTTCTTAGAGGTACTGCACTGTCTTCTGTACTCCTTGCATTGTTTCTCTTAATTCAGGAAAACAAAATGGGAAAAATTCCCTTCTAGTTCAGGGAGCCCAATATCTGCTGCTCTGTTCCCTGTGTTGCTTTCTGCTGCTCTGGTCCTTGGGCTCATCTAGACTACACTAAAGTGTCTGCAGAAATTTGCATATCTTCTTTCGATCTCACTTTCTAAAGCAGAGCTCAAAAGTGAAAGTAGTCTGGACGCAGGTTGTTGTTTTTTTTCCAGCAACTCCCTCCCCTTTTCAAAAAGCCGGATAAACCTCATTTTTTTGAGGAAAAGTGGCTTTTCAAAAAAGGAATTTGCATATCCTCTTTCGACACTTTAGCGTAGTCTAGGTGAGCC